ATGCCAGTGTCCCAGAGTCTTGGCAGTCCTCATCATCAATGTCTTTTCCATGAGGGTATGATCTTTTCCTTCCTGTCAATGGGGTCTCACATACAGAGTCATAGCTTTCTTCTTCATTATCCTTCCTTTTTGACAGCCTTTTTGAAGGATCAGATTTTGGTTTCATTGCCTTTGGCTGCTTTGGAGCCCAAACTCGCTGCAAATCTGGCATTGAACTTGTGAAATATGAAAATCTCCTAGCCCTCTCTCTCCTCTTCTTAACTTCAAGCAACTGACGGGCATGTTCCTCACTTCTAGTCTCTTGGGGGCTTCTCTTATCATGTTTCTGCAGTTGGACGGATTCACCTTTTGCTAATACTGGGTCCCTTATTCTGAAATTTTCATCTATCTTAATTTTCCCTTGCTTTTCCCTCTGGGACTGGTTACTGTCCTCACTGTTGAATGAGCAGCTGGGGATTTCATCCTCGGCAAACAGCAACAAATCCATTTTTGTATAGATTCTATCAACCAAATCTGGAAGAGTGTGATAATACCTGAAATCAAGCACTCCAATCGTTATTCAGTTTAATTGTTCCTGTTTATTTAGCTATATTTAGAGCATTCCATTCAATTGCTCACTCTTCCATAAGAAGCAATAATGGAATGCTTGCAAATGAAGAAAAAGCATTGACAGTCAAGCTGATAGTCTGAAAGAAACTATGATAAAGAACAGATGTTGTTAAGGCACTGGCCAGTTCACCAGGAACCATAAATTATGAAGGCACTAAAAACCTTTCCCTCATATAGAATTTATTTAGCTGTTTTAGTTGAAAAAAATAGACATTCATCTGCAAAGATATATGTACCTGCTCTTTATGATTTTTCCCACGTAATCATCTAGTCTGCAATCACCAAAAAAGCCACCCTCCAGATGGCATTGGATGGATTCCAAGAGCAAGCAAATCTGTTTTACGAACTTCTGCTTCAGAGGCTCCTCGACACTTATTCCAATCTCTGATTGTAGAATTTCCATGCGAAACAACATCTGCAGTTCATATCTTTTGCTTATTAAGGAAATTTGCAGCAGTTGAGGTACACGTCCATTGTAAAATTGGAAGACAAACCATAGCCACATGTCAAAATGAAAAATGAACAAGTCGAAAATGGTAAAAATATGAGACCCACGTGCAACATACTGATATAACAAGAACAAAAAAAGGATACTCTCTAACTACATCTACTGAAGCAGATCCACCAGATCCTGGATCAGATGCCTGGCAGGATGGACTTCTCTTTTTGTGCATAGCAGTGAAGTCCTTTGGCTCCTTGAGTAAAAGTCCTGCCAATTCAACAGCAACTTTGCTTGCGCAACTATCATTTGATTTCACCAAATGGTTTTGTCTCACCATTGTGTTTTCCATTTCATGCTTTTGGTATAACCAGTAGATAGATGAATTTACAAGCCGTTCTGCAATTGCCCCCAAGTCTAGATCTTTAGACTCAAGTCCTTGTTGAATTTTATTTGGAAGACTAACAAAGAAATTCTCAAAACTCCCAGAACAGAAATCATTTGCAGCTTCATCTAATATTCTAGAAGAAACCTCTCCCACTGATGCCGAATTAGATATTGGCTGTTCACTTTCTTGAGGTAACTCATCTATTCCATGATTTAATTCCTGTTCAACATCCTGTTTTAGCATGGAGCACTCTGCTACCTTCAAGCTGCAAGTATTATGTTTCTTAACCTGCTTCATCCAGCATTTCAGAAATTTTAACTTCTTTGAGATTTTGCAGCCCCTAGCAAAATAAGCTTCTTCCAGCTCTATGTCCAAGCATTCAGATGCTGCTTGACAGAAGGCACTCCAAGTAAGGTTTTGAAGCAAATGTAGGTTCTTTTTCCTCTTTTTCCCTTGTTCAGCACTAGTTATTGCAAACTTGTCTGAAGCTGAAGGATGAGATTTAGAACTCATAATCCCAGAAAAGTGCTTCAAGACAACAGGCTCACTACTCTTATTACACCTTGTAATAAATGGATTCAAATGCACTCCACCAGATCCTTTTTCTTTACCATGAGAACAATCATCTATGATAGAGAGAAAGGCTGATGAAATGGTATAAGGCTTCAGGATTCCTCTACACAAATCACCTTTGCCATTTGAAAGCGATACCAGAGCTAAGTAACCTTCCCTTTGGAGAATAGTCAAGAAAATTTGCCAAATTGGGATAGACTTTTGGAGCATAGCTTCACCCATTTCAGTGGCCCACATTTGAAGAAACCCATCTGCATAAAACTCTGTGGAATTTTCTTTGGGAACTGTGGCAGAATCTCCCACAGATTCCCTAACAATAATTGGATCAGACAAGTTCTCTACAGCTTTATCCACATCATCACACCTTCTGACTTCCTTAACATGGATTTTTGTTATTCCATTAGAAACTTGCTCCATGAAAGATCTCTTCTGCGGTTCATTACCTCTATTCTGTGAATTCACCAATTCAGGCATAAACCAAAAACCATCCTGCCCATTTTGCGGACACATCATGAAGTCAACAAATTCAAGCTCACTGCACTTGCATTCCAAAGGCTTACCACTCACATCTAATATCTCAAGACTCAAATAAGCACGTGTGGTCTTACCACTAAAACTAAAACAATCTGATGAAACCCCAATCTTTGGATAAATCAATCCAAAAGGAACAAGAGAAGAACCTAGAATAATCAAATCTGTGGAGCAAAATCCCCAACCTAAACTCTCAATCCCACTCTCAAAAAACCCAAATTCCAATTCACTACCTTCCCTTTTCCCTAATTCACATTTAACATCAACCCAACTACAATGAATATCCCTACTAACATAAGCACCAATCAAACTCTGAAAAACCCCAAAAAACCTATCCCTAAACGCACTCATGTTTCTCAAACACTCATCACTTATTTCCACATCCAAGAAATCACGCAAGTAATTCAAATCCTTACAAAATGGCGAAAACAGAACAACCAAATTAGACCTAATACAACCAGAAGCATCACAATTCAACAACGTACCAGACCCCAAATGGGGAATCACCGGGTCCCAAGCATAGTCGTGCAGAATCTGGCGCATAGAGGCAGCAAGATTCGAAGCTCGCGATGGGTTCAAAGAAAACGAGCTCTTCTTGATTGTACCGGGAAGGGAAGTGAGGAACTGGGTGAGGGATTGAAGGGTGGAATCTGGGTAGTCAAAGGAGAGGGAAATTGAGGAAGAAGGTAGCTTTGAAGAGGAAAGGAGAGGGGAAAGGGATGAAAAAAACGGCTTGAAGGAGAAGAGGGAAGAAGAAAAAGGGGGGAAAGAGAGGAGGGTTTTGGAGGAGGAGAGTATAGCGGAAAGGTAAGGGTTTGGATCTTGGAGATGGAGAACGGGGTTTAGGTCTAGCAGGAGAACTATGCGCTGGGTTTTGCTGTAGTCTGTGAATGGGTCTAACCCTGCCGGCGCCATTGAAGAATTGGAAGCAACAATGGCGGTTCTGCAGGAAAAATCTGTACAGATTTGGAGGGGTTTTAAGGGATTTTTAGATGATTGGAGATTCTGGGCCGCCGTTGATTGAAAGATCGCGAGGAAGAATTGAAGTAACGCGCGGGAGAAGGGAGAATGAAACGATGACGTTTAAGCTTGGACAATACTGGCGGGAAATGGCGGTGGACAAGTTTTCACTTTACGCGGGCTAGGGTTAGCTCTCTTTTTCCGAACACTATTATTTTAGGGAAACTTTGTTTTATGATGGATTTATCAGATTTTTTATATAAATTAAGTGAAGGTCAAATTTTTAATTTTATATAAGTAAAAATATTTTAATTAAATTTTTTATAAGTGTATTAAAATTTTTTAGAAGGTCTATAATATTCGTTTTTGATAAATAATTAAAATATTAAGTACTCATTAATTTTAGTTAAATAAATATTAAAGTTTTAAAAGAACAATAAGTAAAACTCTTTTTATAGTCTTTTATTACTTTGATTAATGGTTTTTATTTTAATAACTGAACCTAATTCAAAATTTCAGTTTTGATAATAAAAAATTTGTTTTTATTTATATGATTAGTTCAATTAATAAATTTCTTTTAATCTTTTTAAGAAAAAAAAATCTGTTATCATTAATCAAAGTGAAATATTTCAATTAAATAAAATTTTAACTAAATTAATCAAAAAATTTTATTTTAAATATTAAGTGATTTGGAATTAAACAAAATATATTCACTCCTAATGCTAAAAAAATATTTAAAAAGTGTGTAAAGAGAGTTTTGATTGTTATTTTTTAATTTTATGGTAATTTATTTAACTAATATTAATAAAAAGTTAATATTTTAACTATTACATCTAAAAAAGAGTACCATAGAGATATTATAAAAACTCGTAATATACTTGTAATAAATTTTATTAAAATATTTTCACTTATATAAGATTATAAATTGCCCCTTTACTAAATAATGAGGAAAAACCTAGTAGATATATTATATAGGAATTTTCCCTAATTTTAATCTTATCTCACTAATCTTAGCTCTCTTTTTTTATTATTTTTATTTTATCTTACACTATAGTCAATACTCGAAAGGATCTTCAAAAATTGTGAAAAGTACCCACCAAAATCAACTTGAAAAATACTTAAGACCCGCCAACTACAATAGTAGATATTTTTAGGAGAAATCCACTTATACTTAAGTTTTACATAAAATTTCAACTATTTACCTTTCACTTTCAATAGTGAAATTTGTCATGATTTTTTAAATAAAAAATAATTATATTTAATTAATGTGAATAAATCTTAACTATTAAAAGTTAATTAAGAGATGAATGTTTGAGATTTTGTGTAAGTGTAATGTATAAGTGTTTAAACCACATTTAACAATTTTCTTGATAATGCTATGTGTCCCTAATGGAGATACAATGGCCACAACTTTCTCCAAAATTGAGAATTCAAAAATAATCAATGGACATGATAGAGTGCAACACAGTCCATAGTAAAGAGAAATTTTGGTACAATGAATTTCTAACACGTGGTAGAAATAGAAGGAAGGAGATTAATCATTCCACAAAATCAAGGAAGTTGCTAAAATATTATTAAGCAATTTAGTTTAGTTGAGGAAAAACAGAATAGGTTCCAACTAGCCTAATTCTAGGGATTTCTAGAAACTAGAATTCTGGTTTTGGTAACTAAATGATATAGAGCAAAAACCTATCTTGTAAGGAAGTATTCAAAGGAGTAATGATACGCGGGACGATTTTGAGGGACGAAACCATAGGACGACAAGTAAAACAGGATTAAATTGGTAATTGCTGTTGGGACTGCTTCACTTGTCGTCCCGTGGTTTCATCTCCCAAAATCGTCCCGTGGTTTCATCTCCCAAAATCGTCCCGTGTATCATTACTCGATTCAAAGACGTCGAGACTCCTTTGATTTAGTCAAACATGATAATAGAGAACATAAAGAAAATCATGATCAAATCAAATTTTTGGCAACAACTTCAGTTATAAAGATCTATAAATATAAGATTTCAAGAACAATTTAGCAAGCTTGCCCCTTTCAACAACATCTATGTTTCAACATGTTTTAGCTCAACACTAGTTTACTTCATAGATTGCTCCTACAACTACTCTACAACTTTCTTGTTAGGGTAGAAGAGGTTTAATTCCCTCAATGGATTCTCTGTTTTTGTTGTTTTTGCTTAAATTAGCTCCAATAGTTAGACTTAACAAACTTCGTTTTTCTATCGGCAATTTACATTTCTGTTTTGTTGACTAGATTCATTTTCTACTTTATTAACAAATTATTTCAACCTCTAGTTGTAATTCTTCTTAAGATTTCAAGTAAAGATCTTAGTTTTGTTTCATTTCTATTAATAGCTAATTCTTTACATTTTTACCAACTTCGATTTACATTTCTACCAGTACTCTTAGTGTTTTATTCTAGCTAAATTTTAAGATTTTTATTGCACTCTTTAGTTTAATGTCCTTTTGTTACTTTAGTCTTAAATCATCCTTTATTTCTACCATGCACTTCTTCTCCATCTTTTTTTTTTTTTTTTTTTTTACCTATTTTGCTTAACAACCTAATGACATTGTAGCCCTAAATGTGGGAAGTTCCTGATGTTCTTCTAAGACAATTATTTTTAAAACTTTATGTAGCACCCTCGTTTTTGCTACAATTGTCTAGTCAAAGTATTATTGGCACAATCATTCAATCAATTGGCATTATTCCATCAACCTTTAAACAAGTTCCAAT